GAATCATAGAATTCTACAAGGAGTATCTTCTCCCACCTTATCTTTCCCAGACCCACCAGGGAAAAGTCAACATAGTTTACAAAGACTAAGGCTAGAAGAGACATTAAATAATTCACTTCACCACAGATAACTTTAAAGGTCTCCATGACTTTCAGAGGTCTGTAGAACACTACCCTTTAAGAAATCCTCTAGAAATTAGTAGTTTAAGTAGAAACTTAGTGCTTTTGCTTTAACTTTGCTCATTCTCTTCCTCCTAACTCCTTCTCCAACTCTTTAATGGTTTCTCTGCAACAGAATAGTGCTTATAGTCTGAACTACAGAATGGCAGTTTGTCATCTGTGACACATTGTGATATTTCATTTTTTTTTTTTTTTTTTAATGCTTCAACCTATGAGATTTGTTGTCACTTTATACAACACTGTTTATTTGCTCCTTGCTATTTTAACCACCGGAGTCCTGATGTGGTGCTGTGGGTTAATGCACCAGACTGCAAAGCCATTTGAACTTCAAGGTCGGCGGTTCGAACTCACCAGTTGCTCCTTGGAAACCCTATACAGGGTGGCTATAGGTCGGAGTTGACTCGACAGCACTCAACAACAACAACATTTTAACCATCACCACTACAATAGAAGCTAAATTTATTGAGAATTAACTAAAATGCAGGGATTGCAGTAAGCATGTATTGTTAAACCTTACATAATCCTAGCTGCATATAAGGTGGTGGTACTGTGGATTAGGCACTGGACTGCTAATCAGAAAGTCAGTGGCTCAAATCCATCAGATGCTCTACAGGAGAAAGATGAGGCAGTAAGCTCCAGTAAAGCTTTACAGTGTAGGAAACCCTATGCAGGATCTCTATGAGTAGGAATCAACTTGACAGCAATGGGTTTAAGCTACTCATAGGAGACCAAAGCATATCAAAGTCTTTCAAGTACCCAACTCTCTGTCTGCACATTCTGCAAGTGTAGGTAAGTACAAATTTATGGTCTCAATGGGTAGACCCTCCACAGTCACTATGAACACACAGACATAGATTTTGACACATTTTTTCCTACTAAATTATTATTTAAAAATTACTCTAAAGTAACAGTGAAGCATAGTAATCTAATATGGTTTTTGTTTTGTTTTGTTTTGTTTTAGTGCCCAATGTTTATTTCCTCCACACATGGGATAGCTCATACAAACAACATACATAGGTGCTGGAATCACGGGAGAGGGTAGCACCCCTAATCTCTGCTGTGAGAGGGGAAGAGAAGGATGCTTTCTCTCCCATCCTCACTGGGGATTGAGGGGGATCAATTTGACAAGTTCCACCCTTTCCACCTCTCAGCCAATGAGAAGCCACCTAGGTGACATGTTTAGTTCTAACCATTATCAGTAAGTGGAGACGTTATTGGCCTGGTCCCACATTACAAGGGAAGGTGTAAATGGTAAAGGAAGGTACAGTTTGGATTAGGCCAGGAGAAGGGGGCTGGTGACACCATCAGAAGCATATGGTGGTGGTGGTGCTAGGGAGGGGCAGTTATAGGCTTCGGGGCTGCATAGTCTCTGTCTGGTTCAAGAGGAAGGGATCAGGAGATGGATGGGGCTTATTGTGTGGCATTGATGATGTCCACAAATTCAGGCTTGAGAGATGCAC